AACAGGGAGACAGGGAGCGTATGAAGCGAGGTGGGGAGCTGGGCCTGGCAGGGAAGGGGAGGAGGGAAGGAGAGCGGGATCTGTAGTGGGCTCTCAGGAGAGCACTGAGACTGGAAACCACCCACTCGCCCTTGTGCCCCAACTGCTTCCTTGGCCACAAGGCATGGAGGGGAGCCTGCCCTCACAGCCAGCCCACTCCACCCAGGCTGAAAGAGTAAGCAGCCAGCAAGCCTGGAGGAAGGTGGTTACAGCACTGTCCCCACCCTAGCCACGCTCTGCAGCCAGCTCTCGAGCAGTGGCCATCATCTCAGACAAGTTCATTTTCCTTAGTTTCCTGGTAAAAAAGTTATTTTAAAACGTTAACCTTTCCCTTAAACCAGAAGGCTTATTTCCACTGGAACCGCAGAGGAGGTGCCCAGCTAGGCTGTCATTCCTGCCTCCCAGAACCTGCTCCCTTCCCTTCCCTTCACTGGAGTTCAGCCACCGGGAAGGCAGATGAAGGGGAACCCAGAGCCTCTTCTGATCCAGGGGCAGTATGAGGGAAGGACAGCACAGACGCAAGGGCAGACCATCACCTCCTCCTGGCTGGCCTCTGGAGAGAAGACCCAGTCCAGGCGGAAGCGACGCTGGCGCCCTCGATAGCAGGTGGTGACTGTGCCACTGGGGCCAGGCTCCGAGCTCACCAGGCTGGAGGGTGTCCCTGGCCTCAGCCGACACAGCACACGGATATTTCCTGGGATGGAGATCACATCAGTGGGCTGCCTCCCAGGCCCTAAAGCATGGGGAGGCCCCACTTCCTCCACTTTCCAAGCCTGCCATACCCTTGAGCTCCAGCAGCCGCCCTGGGCATCCAGTTGGGGGCCCCTGCTGCTCCTCAGGGAGCTGAGTCCCAGCCCCGCCGGATGACAGTGCCCCCAGGGCCCAGGACACCTGGTGGAATAGTGAGGAAGTGGGTGCAGTTGAGGAGCTTGGCGGGGGTGCTGCTGAGGGTATAACTTTCAGTGATTTTGGGCCCCTAGGGGCATCATTCGTGGGCCCAGGATGGAGACCCAGAACCTGAGGAGAATCAGGGAAAAAGACATCTGTCTCCTCCAGGGTTGGCAATCCTGTGAGGGATTTACTGTCACCCCAGTTTGCACCGACAAAAGTGAGACCCAGAAATGAGATCACATCTAGGGTGTGTGAGATCACAAGCTGTTCTGATTCCAGAGCCTACCACCTCCATTATAGCAAGCAGCTCCTCAGGGTGGAAAGAAAGAATAAGGGTTCCCCACGGAAGAACTGTGACCAGGCTGCCCAGAGAGCATGTTCTGGAGAGGGGGCAGATGGTCCTGACCTGACCCCGGGCCTCACTGAGCGAACATTGACAGCTCTGGGTAAATGTGCTGACCAGTCCTCGGAGGTCCCCACAGCCCTGACGCAGGCTGGCCATCCGTGCCCGAAGTCCTGGCAGGGAGAGTTTGTTGTGAGGGAGAGCCCTGACCCCATGGCCTTTCCGTGAGCCCTCTGGTCCCAGCCCTTACCTGCCAGCCGCCCATGCATCTGCTGCAGCTCCCTTCTACAGTTCTGCTCAGTCTCCTGCTGGAGCTGCCGAAGGGCCCCCCGAAGGCCCTGCAGCTGCACCTCCTGCACCCCCAGCTGTCCCGCCCAACCCCACCCTTGTCACTGAGGAAACAGGGCACTTACCAGGCCCTGCCTCAGATACCCCACCTCCCGGTGCCCCAGCCTTCCCGGCCCCTGGGCTCAGTGCCCACCTGGACTTGAAGTGCTTCTGTGGTGTCCTGGGCTTCCTGAAGCCGGCTCTGGAGCTCCGCCAAGGCCTCTGCCTCCTCCTGCAGGAAGGGTGGGAGCCAGGTCAGCTGTGGAGCCAGGAGCGAACTAAAGGAGGTGCACGCCAGCAGCCCCATTGGGCTGGATAGGGACGTCAAGTTGAGAGGAGCAGGCACAGCTCGTCATGAATTCACGTCTCCCAACTTTATACAGGACTCCTTCCCCCAAGTCCCTCTGCTCTCCTGGGGTCAGTCACTTGGAAAGCCACAGGACAGGGCAGAGATGTTCTCCCACGGGCACTGGTCTCCTTGCACAGACCATCCCAGGGCCTGGCCACCCCCCTCCCCCCCCACCCCGGGCTCTGGTCCTGAAAGGTCAGAGAGGGTTCCAGCAGCATTAGATCCTGGGCTGTGTTGCAGGTAGCCAGGTGTTCAGGAGCCCCAGACTGCAGAAGAGGTAGCAGCTAAGGAGGATACCTGGGGGGCCCTGGTGGAGGGGCCAGGGCCCCAGTGTAGCAGGAGGTCCCGAGTGAGGCTCAGGCTCTGTTTCAGAGCCTCATTCTCCAGGGTTAGATGCTGAACCCTTTTCTCTGAGTCTGTTGCCCCCTGGTGGAGAGAGAAGCCCTCAAGACTCACCTGAAAGTTGGGGCCACCTCTCTTGTCACCCTCCTGGAGCCCCACCCCGCAACCTTACCACTCCCAGGCGCAGCCGGCCCAGCTCCTCCTCCTGCAGTTCTAGTTGCTGCTTCAGCTCCTCTAGCTGGGAAGGAGAGAGGGACACAGGATGGAGCATCTCCTTCCAATCCCTCCACCCCAGTCCCTGTCGCCTTCTGGACCCCTTACCTGTCCGAGGATGAGCTGCTCCAGCCGCTGCCAAGCCCTCTGGTCCTCCTCCAACTGCGGAGGGCTCTGCCCTTGGGCCTCATCCCTTGGTGAAAGGGAAGGGCTCTCTTCTTGAGATGGGGATCCTGGGGTGGGGTGGGCCAGTTAAGACTGATGAGGCCCCTAACCTGAAGGAGGGGACACCTCGGCAACAAGGCTGGGCATGGGACCCTGAACTGCAGGCCACTCGGTTTCTGCGGGCTTCACTCCCTCCACACACTCCCTTTACAATGCACTACTCCTTACGCACCAGCAGGAGTGGGGCACTGCCCCTCCGAGGCTGGCTGAGTCCCCTGGGACAGGGCCTGCCTTCCCCTGGGGCTCCGAATCCATGCCAGGAGGGCCAAGAGCTGACCAGTCACCGTCAACAGTGGGGGGACATCGCTCGGCTGTAAAGAACATAGAAGAACCCGAGCAGAGGAGACGGAGGTGATGACACGCATGGGGAGACCAAAAGGACTGTGGAGAGAGTATGGGATCAGCTGGAGAAGGACCCTCAGCCCCGCTCACCTTGGTCAGGTCAGGAGGATTCCCAAAGCTCTCTTCCGCCCCCAGCTGGACGGAAAGGAACTCAGCAAGACGCACGAGAGCCTCTTCCAGGGAGACCTCGGTAGGGCGGCCTTCGGCTCCCTCTTCCGGCCCATCCTCAGATTCGGAGCAGCCAGTGAGGCCTGGTAGCGGGAAAGCGAGGCTTGTGGCTCACGTGTCGGAGGCCTGGCCACCAGAAGGCACATCCTGGGTCCCTCCCTCCCAGAGAGGTCACGGGCACCCCTTCCTCTCTCGGACGGCGGGGTTCCCTCCTGGCCCCGGGGACGCAGCGCTCCCGGCGCACCGACAGCACCTACCGACCAGGCCTGTCAGCTCGGTCCACAGCTCTGCCGGGGGCTGGTCGGGGCGGCGGCGACCCCCGCGCTGGCAACCCGCACTCTGCGGAGAGAGCAGCGGGACCTCTGAGGGTTGGGTAAGCAGCCGGGGGGCCCCCTCCCTCCGAGACCCGGCCAAGGGAGTTGAGGTCTCCGCTTCCAACAGCACAACAGAGACGGGGTCCTCCGCACGGCCCTCCCTCCCCAACGTCAGCGCCCCGGGAACGTGCGCGGCGCGGGCCCGCAAAACCCGCTCTCAGGAAGGGGGGCGCCGGACGTGCTGGGCCCGCTCCGCTCACCTGGGCGGGGTCCCCGGGGTCGCCGGCCGCCGCAGCCCCGCCATCCCTACGAAAGAGGCTGTAGAAGATGTAGATGAGCAGTGAGTAGAAGGCGTACATGGGAGCGCGGGGCGGCAGGGGGCCCCGCTTCGCGCCGCCCCGCGTCCCAGCGCCCCGACTCCGCGCCCGCGCGCTGCAAAACCGGTGCGCATGCTCGGGGAGGCCGCCCCCACGGCCCCGCTCCCGCGGGTGGGGGCCGCGCGCCCGAGGAAAGGGGGTACCAGGAACAGGAGCCCCCCGGGCCACACCCGGACACCTGCCCCGCGCCTCCCACCCCTACTTCGCTGAGACCCCAGGTTGAGAACGCCCACGGCCTCCACACACCACCTCCTCGGAATCCTTCCCAGCCTTCCGCGGAGGACCCTATCTCCCTCGCCCCTTAGAGCCCACAGCTGGTAGGAGGCCAAGCTTCCATCCCCACATTACCACGCTCCTCATAGCCCCGCCCAGTCCCACCCAGACCCCTCCTCCCCTCTCAGCCCTGCCCAGACCCCTATCACAGCCCCGCCCCCTGCAACAGCCCCTTCCCTCCCAGCTCCGCCCAGACCACCCCTCCCCTCTCAGCCCCGCCCAACAGCCCCTCCCATCACAGCCCCGCCCAGTCCCGCGGCCTGTAACAACCCCTTCCCTCCCAGCTACGCCCAGAACCCCCTCTCAGCCCCGCCCAGACCCCTTCACAGCCCCGCCCCCTGCAACAGCCTCTTCCCTCCCAGCTCCGCGCAGTCCCGCCCAGACCCACTCCCCTCTCAGCCCCGCCCAGACCCCTTCACAGCCCCGCCCACACCGCTCTCAACCCTGCCCACGCCCTTCACAGCCCATTCTCTCCCTTCACAGCTCCGCCCTCAACCCGCCCCTTTTACTGGCCCTTCCCTTCACAGCCCCTCCCCTCACCACAGATCCCTCCAAACCACTTGGGTATCATACCCCAATCGTGGGACAGAGCTCCCTCCTCCTAGTACCCTCTCCGCCTTCACAACCTTGTCTGGCTCTCCTAGAACGCCCCCTTCCCCAGGCCCCGCCCTCCTACCGCTCTAGCCTCCGCTCCTCTCGTTGGTTCGCGTCCGGCCAATGTTGGTTGGGCTGAAGCTGGAGACCCGGCAGCGTACCGCGAGCGAGCGAGCGAGCAAGCGATCGGCGGGCGGCGTGGTGGGCGACTGCGGCCTACAGCTCGCCTCTGCGTCGGGGCCTCGCAGCTCAGCCGCCGCGGAGGGCCTGCGCTGTAGCTCCTTCCAGGCCAGGTTCCGAAGACGGCGCCTCACCGGAGCGCAGGAACCAGGTCGAGTGGGCCTCCGCGCGACTCTCCCCGAGGCCCGGCACCCCCACTTGGATTCCAGGGCCCCAGAACTCACGCCCACCCAGGTCAGGTTCGCTTTCTCCTTTCTTTTCCCGGCCTAACTAGGTTCCTCTTCCCCACAGTTGCGTCTAGTGGTCCCAGGGCTCCGGAAAGTTTCGAATGAGCCTATCCCAACACTTAGAAATGGAGCTTTGGAACCTGGGAGTCCAGGAGAGTCGCCTTTAGGGCTCCTGGTCGCCGGCTTCTGCGTTTTCTTCCTCTCCAAAGTTTTGAATCCCCTTCCTGTTTCACGTTCACTACCACCCGAGGTGCCATGGCCCCCAAGCCTTGGAGTGAGTGGAGCACGACCCTCTCCCACCTGGCACTGGGAGTGGTGTCTCTGCATGCAGCCGTGCGCACTGCCCAGGTGAGTACACCGGGGTGGGGCAGGGATGTGTCCCGCTCCCAAACTGCAAGGACCTGCATCAGGTCCAGTTCCCCGGATCACAGAGAGGGTGGCGGGAGGTTGAATCTGAAGGCCAGGGTTGCTTGAGACCCCCAGACCTTTCCCTGCTTAAAGGAAGGTCCTGGCCTCTTTTTTCCCCACACCTCCTTCTATTTTTGTGCTGACAGGCAAGTCGAGGGGCCGCTGCTGGCTTCCTGCTCCACGCCTTGGCCTCTGCCACCATGCTGGCCCCAGGGCTGGGCACCGATGAAGACTGTCTTGCTGGAGCCTGGGTGGCCACTGTCATTGGCCTGCCCCTTCTGGCCTTCGATTTCCACTGGGTGAATGGGGACCGCTCCTCTGCCAACCTGCTCCTGGGAGGAGGGATGGTGCTGGCAGTGGCCGGTGACCACCTTGGTGCTGAGGGCCGCTCTGTGGCTAGTCAGGCAGTGGTGCTGGTGGTTGCAGTAACCATCCTCATTGTGGCCGTTTTCACAGCCAACACTTACGGAATGTGGGGGGGCGCAATGTTGGGTGCTGCAGGCCTCCTGAGCCGGCTAGAGGAAGAGAGACTGCTGCTGCTACCAAAGGAGGACGTCTGTCGCTGGGCCTTGGCTGCAGGCAGTTGGGCCTACCACCAAGCCCTGCACACACAGCGCCTGCAGTGGGAGTGATGTTTGGAGACAGCAAGGTGGGGCTTCTGCCCTGGCTACACCTTCCCCTCCCACAGGCCTGTTCCTGTGGGCCTCCTCCCCTAGGATGGACTCTCTTGCCTCCCAAAGAGAGCTTGCTGCAGGGTGATGGATGCCTCGGTCAGGATGCTCAGGTCCCTGAATCTGGGCACTGTCCCTCTGGCTGAGTGTGGGCACTCGCCTAGACCAGAATGAAGGAAATGGGGCCCCAGGCACATGTTGGGGCCTGATGCTGGTCGGGCCGTGGTTTTGGGTCCAGAGAGGCTTGGTCTCCAATAAACCTTAGGGATACAGCAGGAATATGGAATCTGCCCATTCTTGAAAGGGATCGAGGGGTCCTCCACTGAGCTTTCTAAAGCTCCAGCGCAGCAACTGGTTTCCTTGTGTAAAAAAAGGGATGTCCTGAAACTAGCTCTGGGGCCTCACTCAGCCTGACCTCCTAATGGCACCCTTGTCGGGAGGGCCCCTAGACTGAGAAGACCTAGTCCTGGACCCTGTGACATGGTGGAGCTCTGAATATCCTTGTACAGCCTGGCAGGTGGCCCTCCAGGACAGTGACCTTCACCGGCTGCCGGCTGGGGTGGGGACAGGGGAGGATTGTACTATACCTGTATTACAGCTGTCCAGAAACTAACATTCCCTTTCAGAGCTGACTTGACATGTACTCATTTGTCCTCAGGCCTGTGCAAGGCAAGTCCTGATTTTCCAAGACCCTCACTTTCCACAGTGGACCCCTCTTCAGTTTCCAACCCCGGGATTAATGGTTTAAATTCGGGGTCCGGAGCCCTTTCTCGGGGAGTACCTATGCTTGGGTCCTGTGGAAGCACACCTGGTCCCACACAAGAGGGACGGGAGTGGCCGGCAGGGTTTCTCTCCCCGGTGTGCACGCAAACCTGAGTGTTGGGAGGACAAAGGCGCAAGCACAGCCCGACGTGGGGGGGTCCAGGAATGCCCACCATCCGAGTGGCCTTCGGCTTGTGGGCCGCACCCTAGACGGACCGGAAGCGGCGCGCACGCCCCCAACCCCAGGATTTCCCCGCCCCGGGCGCGCGCCCCTCCGCAAGTTGCCCTGGGCCCCGCCCCTTTCCTGCCCACTTTCTGCAGGGGCGGGCCCTTGGGCGTCCTTGCGTGCCCATTGGGTCTGACGGACGTACCGTCTAGCCCTGAATGGTGCTCCCATTGGTCCCACACGGTCACGTGACTGGGAGACCGAGGGGGCGGTGGCGGCGGCAGGGGGAGCGCTCAGCGAAAACAAAGATGGCGGCCGCGCCGGGGTCGGTGGCCGCGGCAGCTTCGGGGCGACGGGCGGGCCGGACCCACTGAGGCGGCGGCGCAGGGAGCGGGGTTGCGGGGTCGCGGCGGCAGCGAGAGGGCGGCGGGAGCGCGCGGCGCCCCTAACCTCCAGCCGCGGGTGCGCGCCGGCACCCGCCCGCCGGGCCGACCGGCCGTGATGTCCGGC